CACCCCCGCGCGTCCACTTTCGGCCATGCATGACATCCAGCCGATCCCACCTTCGGCGCCGGTCAAGACCGAGATCCTGGCCCTCTTCCGCCACGGACCGCACCTCAATGCCCGCTACGCGAACTTCATCATTACCGGCATCATTCGAGACGGCTTCGTCTCCTTTTCCCACTGCCGCCCGGCCACACTCTCCTCCGACATTGAAGCTCCCTTCGAGAAGTCCGCCCTCCAGGGGCTCACTCTTCGCCTCGGCTTGGCCTCCAAGTGGATGAAGACCGTGCGTGCTGGCCGCCCGCGCTTTCCTCTCCCCATCTATCCCCCCCCCGTGCCGATCTCACGCAGACCGGTCCTGCACGCCGTCACTGATCGCCCCCCCCCCCCTCCCACACACACACACACACACACACACGCACCGGCCCTCGCGCACAGGTTGGCGTTCCCCACAAGTCCCTCATCGTCGGACGCAATACCGCCCTTCTCATCCACCTGGGCGAAATTGTCGTCATGCGCTTCGACAAATCCGGACATGCTCCAGGCCCCGTATACTGGGAGCATGGCGACATCCCGCACGGTACCACCTTCCAACTGCGAGCCAGCTTAATCTACTTGACCTCCCAGCCGGAGCCCATTGGCTTCATGAACGCCGGCGAGGTCTTCCTCTTCGAAGTGCGCCCGATGACTTCCAACCCCTGCCCCCCCCCCCCCCCCCCCCCCCCCCCCCCCCCCCCCCCCCCCCCCCCCCGACCCCCTCCACCGCTTCCACCAGCGCCCGCCCCTCCGCCAAGCCCCCCCCCCCCCCCCCCCCCCCCCCCCCCCCCCCCCCCCCCCCCCCCCCCCCCCCCGCGCGCCCCCCAACGCACCCCGTCTCGCCGCTCACATCCTACGCCCGACCTCATCTGGTGCCAGCCCGCATCCAGTCATTCCACACCCCCACTCAAGCACCTGGTTCTCTGCCAGGGACAGCTCCACATCAACACCGGCTCCTTCACGGCACAGGTGGCCTTCCACTCCCTCGGCCAGGGCGCCCGGGAGATCACCCTGCCCGATGTCCCGGTCGCCGACCAGTGCATCGGCTGCCTCGGCTTCTCGCCCCACATCCAGACCCAGCTCTGGTCCCTCGCCCTGGAAAAACGCCAGGGCAATCTCCGCTCCCTGGGTCTCGCCTGCAAGTCCCTCCTCTCCTGCTACCTTTCCCGCAACATTCTCTTGAGGCGCCTTTTCGCACATGAAGACAAGCTGCTGCTCATCCTCCATGGCTGCCTCATCCTGGCGCAGTTCCCTCAACCCCTGAGTACCCTCTGCCCTGGCACCCTGGATGGCCCTATCCCGGAGGTGGTCCTGCTGCAGGGGCTCTCCCTCGAGGCCCACTTCGAGCCGCTGGCCACCCGCGGCACGGTCTTGCTCGTGGACCCGGACCAGCGCACCGGCTACTCCATCGACATGAACCACCCCTTGTCCAAGTTCTCCATCTTCCCCCAGGTGCGCCATCCCTTCGGGTCTTGGTTGCCGAATGACGGGTGGGCCTGGGCGTGTATGCATGTGTGGCATCCTTGTGTTTGTGTGTGCCCATGTCCGTGCGGTTGTGCCCATGCGCGTGCGTATGTTCATCTGGATGTGGATGTCCGTGTATGCCGATGTCCGTGTGTCCATGGACGTCCATGCCCGGCTGCGGCTGGGAAGGCCCCCCCCCCCTGGCCAACTCCCTCGCCATCACGGCCCATAGCTCCGCCATGGCAAACCCCTCGCGCGGAAGCCCGCCCCCGGCGAGGACCAGCCGCGGCAGAAGGAGGCCGAGAAGGCCCGCTGCCCGGCGACGCCCCTTCACGCCCGCCACGGAAAGACACCCGACCATGCCAAAGCCACCGCCAGCACTCGCCCGCACCCATATCTGGCTGACATATTCCCACCCGCCGGTCGGCCTTCGCCCGCGCGCAGGTCCCCCTCCCGCGGTTTGAGAACACCGCCGCCAACTGGTCCTTCTTCTCGCGCGACGCATTCTGCTTCATCGCTCCGAAGACCTCGGCCATCTTCTCCCTCAGCTCCATGAACTCCTTGGCCCAGATTACCACCGGCTCCGACATGGCCTTCCTCTTCGCCGGAAAAGGTACCCTGAAATCCGTGCACCTCGGTGGCCCGACCCAAACACACCAGGTATGTCACCACTCGCGATTGTCTCCCCCCCCCCCACCCCCCTCCTTCACGCGTCACTGACCAATGTGCCCCTCTCGCCCAGGCCCTCGGCTTCGGCGGACTGGCCGACCCCAAGCGGCTCATGGTCCTCGGCCGGCGCTTCCTCTCCCTGCACGAGAATTACCTCGTCTGCCATGAGTACCACCTGGGCCTGGAGGACTTCCGCCCGGCAAGCTTCTCCTTCGCCCTGCGCCTGGCCGCACAGGCCGGCAACCTCAGCCTGGAGCCGGCCGTCCCGCCGGCCGACGACCGCTGCCGCGTGGTGGTCGACAACCAGTGGGCCATCGTCGTGGATCTGGCCCTGGCCCGGGTGCTGTCCTACCAGCCGGCCAACCGCCCCCTTGATCAGCCGACCGTGCGTCACACATCTCCAGCGCGCGGTGTGCCCCCAACGATTCCCCCTACCCGAGGAGGGGACATCCACACACACACACACACACACACACACACACACACACACACTCGCGAGACCATGTTCATTCGCCCACCCACGAGGCCCGGCCAACTCCGCCCGAGGATTGCCCCTGACCCCCTATGCCCGCCGCAGAGCGCCGATCTCCACTCCAGCGGCGGACCCATGACCGCGCTGTCCGGACACCTGGCCGCGCTCGACCTCAATGGCGTGCTCCTCTTCGGCACGACACTCGATGCCGACCGGCGGCTGGTCATCAGCGACTCGCCGGAGCCCATGCGCCACTGGTCCTTCCGGCCAAATGGCGTGTTCACCCCGCACCAGCCCGGCCTCCTGGCGGTGGCCGCCGGGGCCGATGTGCACTTCGTCTGCCCGCCCGAGGACACGGCCATCCGGCAAGTCCTGTGCCTGGTGCGTGCTCGCCCCCGCTGGCCGACACCCC